GAAATGAATTCTGTGTTCTTGGCACTAATGAAATACAGCGTGCAGTTTTATTTTGCCTCCTATTCGGGAAAAGAACAGCTAAACATTGATTAGATATATTAAGATAAAAATCAGCCCAGTAAACCGTTTGCATTGTAATTTTTTTAATGCTAAATTCAGTAAAGATTAGTATGATTCATATATGCATCACCATGCATTGAAGGGTTAATAATTAAAAAATTAAATAGTTAATGAGTATCAAATTAATTAATAATTATTTAATTGTTATAAAAATCAATATTTATTAATGATTATTTAGTTTATAATCATTATTTAATTAATGCACACTTAATTTATTATTATTTATTAAAATAATTAAACTATTAAAATTAAATAAAATGTAAAGAGATAAATAACAATTTAATAAGCGATTTTTTTTATATAGTTTTATTGCTAAAAGTAAAATTTTCTAGATCAAATTTCTACTGAAATAATTGTTCAGTTACATAAAAAAAGTGTCGGATCTTTCTGATTTAGGGCTCCGGTGCGCTAAGGCTATAATTGGAATATGTCCCTAAAACTAAGAAGTACCGGAGCTGCGCTCCAGTGGGCTCAGGCGCAATTTGAGCTCTGACCGTGTTATTATTACTTCGCTGTTGATCTCTAACTCCAAAATGGGTAGACGTAAAGGAGGTAACGTGCACAAACTTAAAGATCAATTTCTCCCTTGAAACTGATTATGGGAATCCTTATGCAAGTTCGATTTTCATTTCAGTTACTGTCATTAATTAAACAAGGTATTATATTACATTGTGTCATACAGTTTTTTAATCCTTTTTTTCTTCATTTATAAAAACAGTCCAATTTTGCTAATGTTAAACGCTTCGCTACAAGAGATCCTAGTTTACTTTTACACGTTATAAGCTATATAAATTTTTTCTTGGAAAAAGGGAGGGGGCAGGAACCATGAAAAACTCCCATGCAGACAGCTCATTCGCCGGGATATGAACTGGAGTTGACCTAGCTGTTTTCAGCAATATTACTGTGGACAGCTGATGGATCTTAGCAATAGTTTTGATACTGGTAAAAATTTGAAGCTAATGCAGGATTTCCAACACTGCTACTTATATTCTTTATGGTGCATAAGTTGATGTATATTGCATATCAATAGATAATTGGTCAGCGAGTGCCTTATCATAGGTATTACAGTACGTGGCTTAGCAACGTTTCCTATTCTGAAAAGAGTTCAGTTTTAATTTTCTTATCGGAGTAAAAATAGTAAGACCTACTTCAAGTGCTAATAAAGAGCCGAAATACAGAAATCAGAACTTAAATTTACAATGTATTCACATATCTTATAACTCACAGACATACATTTTTATTCAAATAATTTGCTTCCATTTTCTTTTTATTTTTCTTATAAATTAAAGCTTTTATTTATATACGAAAATTTCTTCTTCATTCCTTTAATTCATGTGATCTTAGACAAAGTAGCGTAGCTAGATGGGGCTGGTCCGCTACGGACGTATAATTTGGAGGAGTCAATTTAATGTGAAATAGTATTTGATGGAGGTTAGTCCCATGGATAGTTCAGGCAAATAAAGAACAATACGATTCTGAATTACCGTATGAAATTAATTTGAGAAGAAAAATATAATTTTCTGTAGATCAGTATCCAAAGAAATCACCGCAAGATTTCAGCAGTTACGCACTCTTATACCATTTTTATTAATTCAAATCTTGAAAATGGCGCGTATTAACTAGATTGTGATTTCTGTGAATTAAACCTACGGGGGTTAGCGAGATTAAGCAAGTCTTTCTTTCCAAATACGAAAGATATCTGTCAGACATAAATTTGTAATGCGAGCTGCGTTCGTTTGCGCCCACTGCGGTGCGTAACGTGAAGATAAGCTGATCTCGTTGAGCACTATCAAAAGGTTAATAAGGAAGAATTCCTCAGTTAGAGGGAAGTGTTTCAAAGTTTTATTTCAGTTAATATTGCTAAAGAAAACGAAACAGGAATGTGGAAGGTGGATCTTGATGACATTTTGTTATTTGTTCTAAAATACAGATTCAGATAATGTAATCCTGCTGAGAATGTTTTTCACAATTGCTTTGTTTCTAGTTGTGATAAGAGTTTTTAAATAAAAATTATTTTAGAACTACAAATGTTTAATTTTGCATTTAAGAAATAGTTCTGTGTTATCAGAATATTACTTTGTAATAGGTGGCTTTGCAAAAAAATTTAATAATAACACAACTTTAAAATGATGGAATTAAAATATTTTTCTTCAGAAGAAAAAGGTAGATTTTTAATTTATTTTCTTCTATGTCATTTTTGCATTCAGTCATTTGCTTAGACCAAGAGGAGCGACAAATTCAAAGACTGCCTAAGCGGACACACTCAGGGTTCGCCCCGGGCGGCAAATGTTCTAGCTATGCAGACATAATATATGAATATATATATCACCTTTAATCACTGATTTAGCATTTAAATTGAAGAAATTTACAGGACAGAATATAGCCTTTCTAAGGCAATCTTCAACATGTCCAAAAGGTTTGGTTTTCTACGACGACGATTGGTTAAAAACAATGATATTTAAAACAATGTTTTATGTATATGTTCAGAAAGACTGGTCGTTTTAAGAGGAGGTCGTCTTAAGTTATCACACAAAAAATTTGACTATAAAACGATTGAACGATATTTTTATTTTACCTCTCCGACTACTTTTAATGTGGTAAAAATTTTAAAATGTCCGACGCTCAATGAGCAAATCAAAATTCCTAAATAAGAACAAGAATAAAAATATTAGCAATGCAACACAGGGACAAAAAAAAGATAGTTTTAATTATTAATAATTGCTGTCCTAGAGTTTATAATCTTATCGAAAAACCGAATTAGCGTTTTTAAATATTGCAAATGAAATTTACTAAATTTACAGAAGGCAAGAAGGCAATGAACGAACAGAAAGTATTAATTCATTACGAGCGTAACATTGCAAAATTTCTAAGAAGATCACTGAATGTACATCCTTTCTGCTTTGAAACAAGCCAATAGACTTCCTACGAAGTCCTTTTCCATTCTCCAGTATTCCAGATGGTGTTTATAGCTTAAGGGGCCGTGTTATTTAATGTATTAAAGAACCTTGTTTAAATCCTAATGCGGTGTTGCTATGGTTACCACGGGTCATTAGCAATATCTTTGGCAAAAAATTCCATTTTTAACCTCCGCGAGAATGCTGCCAAGGGTAACAACCCGTAATTCTAATGTCAAAAATCCAGTGTAACGGTCAGCGCCATCTATTGCCAAAAGGCTGCATTCATGTTTCTCAAAATTTACTTTTAAAAGCAGTCGTCACCGCCTCCATTTTGAATTTTAACTATTACTGTTGAAACCCAGAAAGGATAAACGGTTTGTATAATTTTGGATACTACGATAAGAGACTTTAGCTATCTTCAAAAACCATCCAGTTATTCTATTTCGAGAGAATGTGGACTAGTAGTCCCAATGACTACTTTTACTGGAAAATGATTTTGAGGAATAATAGTACTATTTCTTCATTCATTTGTATGTATTTTTTCTTAGTCAAATACTGAAATTTTGAATTTTCTTTTAAGATAAAAAATTATGAAATTATGCTAACTGTTTTTAGTACTTTTCCGTTTTGCCGGCACAGGCGATGAAGTCACCAATAATGGTATAAACGATGCCGAATGGAATATCCTCGCTAGTAACCTTTTACGCCTTATTTTCAAAACATTTCGCAGCCATTTCTTATCAGATTAATTGTTTCTTTCAATACTGCATACAGTTACATAGAATTTTTACGAGGTAGTTCAATTGTATGCCCTAAGGCCATTCGCGGGCAGTAATTAAGTCAATTAGGATGCAATCACACCTCTCACCCGATGGCGAAAATATAGAAAAGGCAAAGTCAAGGGTTAAATTCATCAATTCTAATGAGAATGCACTAGCGAAGTAAAGCACTGCGGTTTTACATAATTTTCTGAGTAAGCTATTCTTAAGAATTGAAATAATTCTTGCATTTAAACTTTAATTCCAAATTAAGATTTCACTTGAAATTAATGTAGATAATTTATTGAGAGAATTAGATTTTTGTAACGTAGTTTACTTGAGGTCACGTGGGGATCACTTGGGGTCACGTGATATGAACCGGAGAATCAGCATGTTTTACCATGAAAGCATTGTAAATTCTTAAATTGTCTTTTTGAAAATTTATTGGTTTTTTACAAAATTTGAAACGCCATTAAAAAAAATAAAATAAAATTTCTTGCAACTAACATTTGTCTACATTTTTTATGTGTATAGTGTGTGTTGTCGCCAATAAAGTCTGCTTGGCGAGATTTGCCCCGGCGAAACGGAAAAATACCCTGTTTTTTATAGAAACTATTTCTTTCATTTATTATAATCTGTTTTCTTTCATTTATATTATGTCATTCGTCATTTATTTATTCGTATTATTTTATTTTATTGTTCACTGTGCCTGGTAACATTTAACTTTGTTTGCCATTCATCATTTTAAAACTAAAGATATGTATGTAATTATTCAATTATATTATCGGTTATTATAGTAAAATAGCAGGTAAAATAGTTTATGAAAAATGCGACTGTTTGGGACTTAGAGGAGACGTTGATCTGGTTTGGTTTATTTGATTATGGCAAAGCACTCAAGGGCTAGTTGCCTAAAAGGAGGAATACCTTCGTGGGTGACTTTCCAAGGGAAATTGCCTCGTTACACACGGGGGAAACCACGAAAATGTCCATGCAGCTGACACGTTCGCTGGGATTCAAACCCCGGTCGATCTACCAGTGTTGAGCGACTTTCTCACTTGGCTGTTGTTGAGACCCAAGGCGACGTTGCATGCGTTTCAGCTCCCAGAATTAATGACATCACTATATGGTTGCTACTATGTAGTGAGCCTTCCACAAGACCTTTGGTCCTTCTAATTTTAAGCCACTATATTACATAAAATAAGATGGCAACATACGATGTAATTGTTGTTTTTGTTCTTCATATGTAAAGAAATCTGTCAAAGCGTAAATATAATGGATGTATGGTTTGAATTTGATAAAATAAGGTAGCATGGACATTCAAACCAAATAATTGCTTCGCTAGTCCATGCTTAAAAGAAGCTTTATAGTTTAAGAACTATGCTCATTTTATCCGATTACATGTATCATGTCGTCCAAGAGGTGAGATTCTGTTTTTAAGCCTACTAATTTTGACGGTTTCCTGTGCGGTACAAGAGATAAGAACTTTTTGGTTAGCGTTTCAATTTCTGTTGTTAAGTTTACACAGTGCAATGTTAAGGAACTGTGGAATAAATTATGTCCATAGCTTCGGAAGGTTTTTTTTTTTTTTTTTTTTCCCCGCACGCATGCCAAGATGAGAATTAAAACACTGAATGTGTATGTAAAGCATAATTAGTAGGGATAATGTATATTATTAAAATTAACTTCATGGTGCCATAACTCACATTAACTCTTAAAACTTATTTTTGATGACTGCACTGTATGGATTTCCGCTACATATCATGTTAAAGTATTCTTTTATGAAAATTTTACGGTTGTGTGAAAATCAGTTATAACTTTCTCTTCTCATAAATAATCTTGAAACGACTAATTGAAGCTGTGTGTAAAGTTGTTATTTCGAACAGTGTTGAGAATTGGGTTTTGTGTTATTTCTTTTTGTAATCTATTCAAACTCACCGTTGTTTTCTGTGCCGGTAAAAATTGATAAGTAATTGATGAATGAGAAATAAAGTTGAGAATAACCGATGAATTATCTATGAATTGATTCATTGTGAAGAAATGAATATTATTCTCATAAAAAGCGTTGGTATTTCTTTTATGACTGTTTTTTAGAATAATCTATGGATTGCTTGTATGGTTAGTAGCTTTCTATGAGAAGATATGTAGTGTAACTATTATATCTACAAGTTTTTATAAAAGTTAGATTTTATATGTAGTCTAAATTTTTAGGGGGAAAGAAAGTATTTTTATAAATCATAAAACTAGTTAAACTAGTGTGGGATATGAGTTAAAAGTGCTTGAAATTTAAATTTTATCTAGTTTAGTATAAAAATAGCATTATTTGCATATATATTAGATTTGGCAGATTTTTCCCAAAGTAAGTAAAACCACTGGTCATAACCAAGCTGTAGAGGAAAATTATTTTAAAATTTATTCAAAGGTTTCATAACAGTTATTAAAGATTACATTCTTTCCACTTCAACTTACCTTTACCATGAAGTAGTCTATAGCAGAAAAACATTTTAGTTGCTATTTCAAAATCCAAAGAATTTCCCAGATTAATGTGAAGAAATGAAAATCTGAAGAATGTTCTTTCAAACCTAGCAGTTCTTATTGATAGAATCATCATTATGCAAACAACAGTTTGAAATCCTCATTTGCATTTGTTTTCTTTAAACTACATCACGATGTAGAAGTTAAAACATTCTGTAAGACTTTATTAAGAAAATAGCTAATTTTTGCTAGCAAAGCAGAGGTTATGAAAGCAAAGCATATGGAAATGTAAGTCTATCATGAAGTAATGTTCTAGCCTTTTCTTGCTCCTCACTGGACAGTTCTGATTTCATATATGTTGATTGAAGCACATAGCATATGGTATTGAGCTATTTTCTGGCTGAATCCATATTTTATCACTTTCTCATAATTTCTAGGAGATTAACATGAGCTATTCATGCTGATCACATTTCAAAAGAATTTGCAATATAGTTTCATCATATTTCTGGGTTTTATCCTGTGTAGCAGCAGTAAGTGTTTTACTTCATTAATAAAGAATACCATTTTTCTCAACTACTACTTCTTCATCTTTATCATCTTCATGATTTTCAAGTATTTTTTTAACTAATATGTACTAATAGAACTTTTCTTACTAATGATAATAAGTAACATATTAGACTGTTCCGCTTGTAATTCTGGTATTTGTGGTTTTAGCATTTGGGTATTTCTTAAGTCAAACACATTTGTGATGATTTAACAGGTTTTTAACCAGTTGTTTTCTAATAGAAGTTGTAAGCTTGTCTTATTAAAGTGATCATATAGTTAAAAGGTGCTTGCTGGTAGAGAATAGAATATTATAACTGTAAAAGAACTTTCCAATAGCCTCATGTAAGATCTGTTTGTTCTTTGGAGCTTGTTTTAATAACAGTCTCACACGCTTGATGTGTTGAGAGCCTTTCTTGTTCTTGTTCGTGTTCGTTTCCTCCTAGTTAAGGAAAATATTTTCCAGCAATAAGTAAATTTTATTGATTGATTGAAACTTAAATTGTGCAACTTCTATCCCTTTTTCCATTGTGATTTTCAGAATAATCTTTCTTTTAAATTTTTTTTTCATCTGAACTGTATTTTTTTCCTTTTTAATGAGCTTTTTCTTATTAAATTTCATTTTATATGCCTTATTTTAATCTGCTGCAGACATTTGTAGATTTTTATATGAAGATTCAACTAGTATTTAATCAGTTAATATTTGTATTTATTTTACTTCATTATGTAGTACATTACCAAGTTTGTTGTGATAAATGTTATGTACATTAATTATTAATTATATTTTCATTGGTTTTAAAAGTGCTTCAATAAATTAAAGCTTTTTTTCCCAGTTTGGAATTTTCTCAGTGTTACAAAATGAAAATAGCCAGATAGCATAAAATTAAGAATATCTAATTAAATACTGATATATTTTGCACCAGAATTATATTACAAATAATTTAACAACTTGAATTATGCATCATAATGTGAATTTCAGTCAGTCAGGAGTTCGTTTGAGAGGTCACTGCTGCACAGCATAAAAAAACTCCCAGTTTGTCTTCTCACGAAAATCTCCAGATTTCAGGATTGGGTTGATCTTTGGATTATAGTAACTTGGCGATTTTTTGGCGACCAACTCTGCTACAGCAACCCTCTATTTTTTTTTCGCCGCCATTTTGTCTTCACGAAGTAAAGACATGTTTCTTTTCTTTTTATTTACTGAACACTTTTTCCAACAATCTACTAGCCGAATTACACTTATGCTAGAAATTTATGTAACAAAACTGCTTAATCATGACAAAATTAACTGCAAAATTGGGAAAAAGTGCACAATCGCAAACTCCTTGCGCGTTTTTTCAGAATAGCACATACACATAAACCATTTTACACGTCAACTTATTTTACTTAAAAAGACATCCCAGAATTGCACAAAATGGCATTGCACACACTCTTAACTTTATCCATCTACACTGCTATTTTTTCATAAATTACAAAAATTTGCACGAAAATGCAAAACAATTCTGTGAATCTTTAAACTCGGTAAAAAGCACATATATGAAATTACCTGATCGCGAAAAAGTATTTACCCTTTCCAAGGATGAACATTTCCACGTATAAAATAAATCAAATATCCAAAAACTTTTACCTCTAAATTATCTATTATATTATAAACGTCACCAATGAATTCATACCGCAAACATTACAAATGGTTACAAATACTTAGTGTCAAATATTTAAATTCTTTCCATGCATGTTTACTTCGACTGAAATGTATACCAAATTCCTACAAACATAAAATTCACAAAATAACTATCATTTAATTAAAATATCACTAAACCACGTACACGTCGACTTATTTTTACTTAAAAAAAAATCCCAGAATTGCACAAAAATGGCATTGCGCACACTCTTCACTATATCCATGTACACTGCTATTTTCTCATAAATTAGAAAAATTTATTTTCTCATAAATTAGAAAAATTTCACGAAAATGCATGAAAATTTTGTGAATCTTTAAATCCGGTAAAAAGAACATATATGAAATTACCTGATCGTGAAAAAGTATATACTCTTTTCAAAGATGAACTTTCCACGTATAAAATAATAAAAATATCAAAAACTTTTACCTCTAAATTATCTATATATTATAAACGTCACCAACGAAATTCATACCGCAAACATTACAAATGGTTACAAATACTTAGTGTCAAATATTTAAAATATTTCCATGCACGTTTACTTCGACTGAAACGTATACTACAAACATAAAATTCACAAAATAACTATCATTTAATTAAAATATCACATAAACCACGTACACGTCGACTTATTTTTACTTAAAAAAAAAAAAAATCCCAGAATTGCAACAAAAATGGCATTGCACACTCTTCACTATATCCATGTACACTGCTATTTTCTCATAAATTAGAAAAATTTCACGAAAATGCATGAAAATTTGTGAATCTTTAAATCCGGTAAAAAGAACATATATAAACCTGATCGTGAAAAAGTATATACCCTTTTCAAAGATGAACTTTCCGTATAAATAAATAAAATATCCAAAAACTTTTACCTCTAAATTATCTATTATATAATAAACGTCACCAACGAATTCTTACCTCAAGCATTACAAATGGTGACAAATATGTCAAATATTTAAATTATTTCCATGAACGTTTACTTCCACTGAAACGTATACCAAATTCCTACAAACATATAATTCACAAAATAACTATCATTTAATTAAAATATAATTAAATTCAAAAACACTACTTAAAATATAAATAAGCACATACATTAAATTAATAAAAATTAGCTTACAATCCTAATCACTTCTAAATCATTGCTAATAACAATTTTACAATAATACCATATTACTTTATTATCCTTACATTTAGAACAATGCATAAAAATAATATCCTCAATAATTAAAAATACTAACTTACCTAATCTTCTTCAGAATCTGATTACGTGGCCGATAAACTTTCTTATTTCCTCCGCTAAATAAAAAGCAAGCGTATGTGCGCCTGTTTCAGGATCTTTAAAATCATACTTAAAAGGTACCAGGTAAAATAAATAACTTAATAAATCTTTACTTCTTTATTCGACCTCGCAAAAAAATAAAAAAACACTTATTACTACCCCTTTCAATCCCACTAAATACCCATTTCGAATTCACTTTAGTTAGGGCCATGGGATCCAAAAATTAACCAACACTGTTTTACACAATACAGAATAAAGCTAAATACAAATTTCCAGATTTTTTCCAGATTTTCCCCCTTTTCCGATTAAAGAACTATAATACGTCCATTAATGTCACATGACATATATCATGATCTCTCATTTCCCTCACACAAAATAATGCATAATCGGAACTGAGTACTTCTCACATTATTACCAAAGTCCTAGGTAGTAACCTTTAT